CTCGAGGACATCGAGGGAGACAAACTAGCTGACAACAAATACTGTATCCCGTAATACAAGGACAATTGTTAATGCTATTCGAAGTGGATCGGAGAAGCTGTACGATCATACAAATTCGATGACAGCATTGCTGCTTGCAATCATAGTGATTAAAGTGTTTAAACAGTGATCTATACCACAGATTTAATCAAGTGTAGTTTGAACCAGAGAGGAAGCGGATCAAACTTATTTGATCCGAACGCCGCTCCGAACGTTTTGTGACCCGATGCATCATGCGTCGCATAGACATGTGTTTTTAGTTTGCTTCTTTTATCGAGTAAATTTTTCTTTTCACTCATTGTTTCTTTACATAAATCGAAGAAATGCTCTCGTGATTCATTCGGAGGCAATAAGTGTTGCTGATTTTATATATATCAAAGGCTCATCGACACTTCTGAAACAGGGGTCTCTGGGAAAACAAAATTCCGCATCCAAACTTTTCTCCCCTTTAATGAACTTTATTTAGAATATTTTCCCAGTTTCTCCTCTTTGCCCAAAGAAAACCTAAACTACTGTACATCATTCGATAGAGAATTTCGCAGGCTACAAAATGATTTATATAAGATTGAGAACAAATGGGGCGTAGATGTCCTAACACGAGAAATACTAGCTCCCACCTCCACAAATCCATAGGTCAGCAGCGTTTATCGCTTGTATTGTCCAACCAGTTTATTGTTAACCACGTCACTTTATATATCATTCGATAGAGAATTTCGCAGGCTACAAAATGATATATTTAATATTGAGAGCAAATCGGGCTCGGCTGTCTTAACGCTAGAAATAGGTTTTGGCTGCGCGCATATCATTGTTTGGACATGATATATTTGATTGTTTTGATTTAAATTGTTTGGGAAGATATGTCTCATCGTTTTGACTTGCATTGTGTTGAACAAAGATATTTTGTGAATTTTCAAAACAGAATGTGTTCTCTCTCGTCTGTACGAATATCTATGTAAATGTGGTTCGAATGCTTTTGGTTGTTGGAGTAGTTTGGAATAAAAGTGATTATAGTTAACAGAGATTTGCACAGTTTACTTGTATAATGGATCGTTGTTCGTGTTGCGGAGCTCGTTTATTTAGAGCGTCTAGTTTTGGACGATTAGCATCACCGGTGTTTCGTATGTTTGTATCGATACGTGTATTGAAAACGCTTCCCTCGCATACGAAAGTTTGTAATAAATGTCGTCAGTCATATGCGTATTGGAAAAGATGTAATCCGGAATTTACAAATATTTTCGATCGGATCGAAGAAGAGTTTGTTGAAAATGGTGAATCAGAGGATGATCAGGTAAGTGAAATGTTATTTGTTATTTTTGTGCGAGGGTGAGGGTGTGGTAACCTGTTTGATTGCTGTTTTCAGGTAGAAGATATGGATACCAATGTTTGCTCTGCGGTAAGAAATTCATCAGACAAAGAATGTCAAACTATAGAACAGGATGATGGAGCGCCGAGTATTACGTTGCCACTTAATTGTACAGTTTGCTCTCATAAGTAAGTAAATGGTCTGAACTAACTGACCGCAACAACATCATTTATTTTGAATATACTTGATTCCATTGTTTCCAGAACGTGTTGTATTTGTCGGGCTCATATTGATGGTTCGTCAAAGACCGTAGCAGTTTTTTAGCTGATACAACAACACAATTTGTCTCAAACTTCTCAATGCGAAAATATTGATGGAACGTCACTCTTTTCGACATTCCCATTGTTATCCGAAGAAGAGATAGGAGATATAACTTTAGGTAA